AGCTCTTGGCTCATTCCTTATCCATTCGTCCTGAAATATACTAGCCAGAAATGCGATTGCTTTATAAAAAAGAGAACCATTTTCAAATATGAGTGCTTTTGCACTCTTNGGATTTGCTGACACAAGCTCTTGGCTCATTCCTTATCCATTCGTCCTGAAATATACTAGACAGAAATGCGATTGCTTTATAAAAAAGAGAACCATTTTCAAATATGAGTGTTTTTGCCCTCTAGAAAATAAATTTTACAACTTCACATACGCGGTTTTGCATTTTGCTGATACGCGGTTTTGTATTTTGTTGATACGCGGTTTTGCACTTTAAACGACGATAAGCTTATGAGAAATTATTTAATCTTAACATGCATATTTTATATTGTGTTCCAAAATTCTCTCAGAGCGCGTTCACAATTGATATTTTGATTCAAATATTGTTTGTCAAGCATTCAGTAGTGAAGTTTGATCGGAGTTTATATATTATTCAGTAATTAATCATATTAAATTGAAATATGGATTTATAATATGGTAGAAAGCTAGAAATTATTTAGTGTTAATATGCATAATTCGCTCCGTGTTCCAAAATTCGCTCCGAGTGCATTCACTATTGATCATTTGATTTAAATAATTTTTTCTCAAGCATTCAGTACTATAGTTTGATCGGAAATTATATATTGATCACATTTATTTAAAATATAAACGTTTAATAGGGTAGAAATTGTGAAATTATTTAGCTTTAGCATGTATAGTCGCCAGAGACAATTGCAGAAAACTGCAACAACTCGTGAAAACTTACAATAAAAGCAATGTAGATGAAAGTAATAAATATTATTATTAAAATTAGATCCATATATAAAACATTTTTCATTTATTTGAAGTAAATCGGAATACATTTTTACATATAAGATAGTTTCCATTTAACTCATAAAGTACATATTTCACTACAAATATTTTTAAGATCGTTTCGAATTTCAAAAATAGCGCTAATTATTTGTATTGAAGTATAAAACATTTTATTACGTTCATGTTTACTTATAAAGCGCATAACAGTATTTCTCTCGCCATTTATCCGATGTTAAAATTTTTCACCACATTATTTTGCTGCACAGCACCCTGAATGCGGCAAAACAGTTGCTCGCAACCCTCAAGTCCTTTAGGGGCCACAACAACAAAAACCTTTTCTACTGGTATACTGTGTTCCACAGTATACACTAGAACTGGAAAACTACGATGGCACTATCGATAGTATCCAAGGTAGGAATTTTCGATATCGTATCGATTATTCTGAATATCGATATTTCATGACACGATAATCGATTTTTTGAAACGATATTTCAAGGTCGATGTATCGAAGACATCGATACTTTACCCGCAATATCGATATTTAAGTTCAAATTTATTTTTGATCTACAAAAAAGTGTATGGGAAAATACTAAAGTAGGTTTAATCAGCAGCTTGTGTGATTTATTTAGCTCTTAAGTTTGACAAACCGCTTTAGTCGACCGGCATGCCATTTTAATCCTCAGTATATATACAAGCTGGAAATAACACAATTTCATGAGTATATACCACAGTATAGACAGTAACCAACCTTTTTGGGTTGTTGTTGTAGTAGTCGTTGTTGTTGTAGTTATATTCACTCCTGAGGAAGGCACGGGGTTGTGTGCTGCTATTTAATGGCCTTCCCAAGACTTTTTCTAGATTTCAGGGTTGTGTGCTGTATTATTATTAGATAAATAAATTTAAGTATTTGTCAAATCGTGATTTTATTAAAAGAAAATTATAAATGGTGTTGAAAAACCAAACAAACGCTCGTGCGAAAGCTCTATTTTTGTGTATTGTTAAAATTTATACATGGCGTACTTATTCTTTTGTGGACTTTATGTTACTTGAGAATTTAGACAAC